CGCCCTCAGACGCGCTGTTGCCCACTGCGCGCGCTCCCTCTTCCCAGCCACCTGGGCGCTGCCAGGCCTCCGGGTTGACAGCTGGTTCCAAATCCGCCCAGAGAGCCAGAGGGGTCAGTGTGGGGCCCCCCAGCGGCCCCAGCCCCCATCTCTTCAGGAACCAGTCCAATGATCGTCTTCATTTAAGGTTTTCTTTTTTTGCTGGCAAGTCTTGCTTCATTTCCCCGAGCCTCAGCATTTCGTCTGTAAAATGGAGCTAGCTGATCACGGCGACTCTCTTGAAAGGTGGTGTGAGGGTTAAACTGAGAACATTTTTGAGACACTGTACCTATCCTGAAGTAGGCAAGTCCTCCTCAGCCGTCATATAGGTCCGCAAGGGGGCGTGGAGGCACCTTGTCCCGCTGCCCTGCTGCGGAGTCAACTCCCCCAGCGCGCACATTTTGGGCTGCTGAGTCCATTGGCCTGGCTGCTGCAAGAATTAGGATTTGAAGGGTCTCACCCAGGACAGTCCGTTTCCCCCCAGAACTAACCCCACCTTACCATTCCCATCTCATCCTGGACCTTCTTCTTGGATGCATGTTTGAGAATTGCACTTATGGTCTGACCGGTTCTGCAGCTGCCCTTCTTGGGGTCATAAATCAGTTTGCTAGGGAAAAAACCCTGGTTCTGCAGCGTTTGAGCCACAAGTTGCCTGCCGGTCTCTAGCCCCGGGGGAACAACGCGCACACTGGTTCCTTCTAGTTCTTGATTTGAATCTCCAGGCTCCTTATGGTTTCTAAATGCTGGGTTTCAGATTTGAAGGAGAGAAAATCTTGCAGAGATTCCTAAGGTTTGGAAATCACCCTGCTTGCAGCACTTAGATTGAGGAAGTAAATATTGAGAGTCAGAATTGGGTTTAACGTTACAAAAACTGCCCATTTCTATTCCTTGATGATTTTTTAATGCATAGCCAAATCGAAGTGAACAAAACCTTGTTTCCCTTCATCAAGAATATTTCTCCTTGAAAAATTAAAACACAGTAAAGATTTTATAATTCAATCTGAAACTACATAGTCTTTTTAAAGTCCTCAATTGGATACATATAATTTCCTTTAAAATAATAAATTGCAAAAAAATAAAGAAAAAAAAGAAAATGATAAATTGCATGGTGCCTGCCTTCATCCAATACTTACTTTGACCTTCAAAATGCAGCTTAAATGCTCCTTTCTGGAGGGTCCCCAGAACTCTTTACTCCCATCCTCCCTAGCACCCCTCCATACTACAGCAGGTAGGAGGGCCATGCTTAGCATGTTGGTAAGAAGATAGAGGATTCTCTCTCACTCAAGAGTTAGACTGGGTTTGAATTTTGCTCTGCTACTTCTTAGCCAAGAGACAGCATTTTGTTTTGATAATGATTTTAAGCCAGTGTGAGTCCTGGGTTTGCCACTTACTAGAGTGGGATCCTGGACCAGTTTCTTAACTAAGAATGATGGGTAATAATGGAACCTACCTCATAGTGCTGTTTTGGGGATTAGATAAATTAGTGCTTAGAACAGTGCCTGGTATATATGTAGTAAGCACCAGAACTGCATGAACTATTATAGCTCTGCAACTGTGGACAAGTTAATTTACTTCTTTGAAACTCTTTCCTCCTCTGAAATGCTAATGAAGATAAGTACTTCTTGGACTTGTGAGAATTTGCCCCTGGGCTCCAAGTATTAATGAACATTCAACACATGGTTGCTGGAATTAATTAGTATTATTAGTCTCTGTGTGTCACCACATGTGACTTCCAGCCGAACAAGGTCTGGCAGGGAGGACTGGGTGGTGGTGAAGATCGCAGGTATAGAAACAGGCTGCCTAGGCTCTTATTCGGCCTCTGCCTTTTACTAGTGACTTTGGGACAATGTACTTCACTTCTCCATGCCTCAATTTCCATTTCTTTTGCAAGAATTTTGTGGGGATTAAATGAGATGCTATATATAAAAGGCTTAGTAAATGTTAGCTATTTATAGTCATTGCTTTTTCAAAAATCTCACCTGAAGATATGTTTTCATTGATTTTTTTTTTTTTAGAGCAAGTGGAAGTGGGTGGAGAGAGAGAAAGAGAGAGAGAGATAAACATCAATGTGAGAGAGAAACATCCATAGGTTCCCTCCTATATGCACCCTGACTGGGCATGGAACCTCAACCTAGGTATGTGCCCTGACCTGGAATTGCCCTGCAACCTTTTGGTGTATGGGATAACATTCCAACCAACTGAGCCACCTGACCAGGCCTATAGTCATTGCTTTTTAAAATCTCATCTTAGCACTGTGCCTGGAACATAATAATTACTCAATAAATATTTGAATGACTAGTGTGTGTAATTAAATATACTACTGTAAATACAGTTAATATAATATCCAGCCCAGCCGGCATGGCTCAGTGGTTGAGCGTGGACCTATGAACCAGGAGGTCACAGTTCAGTTCCTGGTCAGGGCACATGCCTGGGTTTCAGGCTCAATCCCCAGTGTGGGGCATGCAGGAGGCAGCCGATCAATGATTCTCTGTCATCATTGATGTTTTTATCTCTCCCTCTCCCTTCCTCTCTGAAATCCAGAATTTAGGGATTTAAGTGGCCTTTGGCCCTGGCTTCTTGCCTCATAAAGGAGTGGGCATGCAGCCATCCTTGCTGTCACTGTCACACTTGGTGTTATGCCCCTGGCTGCTCTCTCACAGTCTGACTGTGGGGACTTTGTGATGTGCAGCTTTCCGACCTCTAATTGCTTCACACATACACAAATTCTTCTTTGCCTTTTTGCTTATTCATTACTTTCTGCGTCACCAAAGATGAGGTAAATGAAGATGATAAGGAAAGAGGAAACTAAGAATTGGGATTTGAAATACAACAATTGGTTTCCTCCCTGGCCAGTGTGGCTCGGTTGGAGCATCATTCTCTACAAGAGAAGGTGGTGGATTTGATTCCTAGTCAGAGCACATGCCCAATTTGTGGGTTCGATCCCTGGTCGGGCACATGTGGGAGGCAACTGATCAATGTTTTTCACATCAATGTTTCTCTTTCTCTCTCTCTGAAGTCAATAAAAAGTTGGCTTCCAGGCCCAGCTCTGTGAGTTTTATTTATTTAATATTTATGTATGTATGTACATATTATTTTTAACTACCTTTCTGAGGGAAAGTCAATTAGGCATTCCGAGTCTTAGTGCTCTTACCTGAAGAATAGGAATAATGATATCCTCCCATATAAGGTTTGTGGTATTGGATCCAATGGAATATAACATGGAAAGGAACATAGCGAAATAAATCAATACACTGATTAGTTGTTATGATTATTATAAGCTCCAGAGGTGAAATGAGGACTGTCCACACTCCTGACCCTTTGGATAGAGCAGGACATGAAATCAAGTAACAGACTTAAAAACATTTCCTGCTTCCTTTCCCAGCCTGACTGAGGGCTTCTTTTCCTAATCTCTTCATGCTTCCCCTTGTCTAAAATGCTGTCTTCCTCACCCAATGTATTTTCATGTTTTTACATCTAAAAAATGCATTTGGATACCACTTTACATTGCCAGGATGGCGATAATAAAACAAAACCAAAAACACATAATAATAAGTGTTGGCAAGGATATGGGGAAATTGGAACCCTTATACAGTGCTGGTGGAAAGGTAAAATGATGCAACCACTTTGAAAAATAGCCTGGAATTTTCTTAAAGATTAAACATGGAGTTACCACATGACCCAGCAGTTTTACTCATATATATATATATTCAAGAGAAATGAAAACGTATGTCTGCATAAAAATTTGTAAACAAATTTTCACAGCAGCATCTATATATATAAAAGCCTAAGTGATTGAATGACCGTTTGACTGGTCGCTATGATGCGCACTGACCACCAGGGGACAGATGTTCAATGCACAGGACTGGGCTCTCTCCTGTCTGGATTGGGCCTGCAGGGATGGGGCCTGTGGAGATTGGGCCTGCAGGGATCGGGCCCCTCCTGTTTGGATCGGGCCTGCAGGGATCGGGCCGAAACCAGCTATTCGAACATCCCCCGAAGGGTCCCAGATTGTGAGAGGATGCAGGCCAGGCCAAGGGACCCCACCCTGTGTACCAGGCCTCTGGTTGTACATAATAGCCAATCATATAAATAACTCAAATGTCCATCAATTGATGAATGGATAAACAATGTGTGGTATATCCACTCAATGGAATATCTTCTATACTAATAAAAGGGTAATATGCTAATTAGACCGGGAGACCTTCTGGGAGACATTCTGGATGTCCTTCTGGACAAAGTCATGGTGGCAGGGCTGAGGCAGAGACAGTTAGGGCGATCAG